AAAAAAAAAAAAAAAAAAAAAAAAAAGCCTCGACATCATTAGAACAAAAATAGGTATTTGAAAATCTGGTAAACAGTAGGTTAGCTTGAAATATACAGTGTTTAATCAAAATCTGAAAGCTACCTAAAATTCAATCTTCTTTCTCGTTTCTCCAAAATTCTGATTACTTCCTCCTCTTTCACCGTCCGTTGTTTAGCTTCTGTTACCGTTTTCCCCTGTTTGAAAAAAAAACTTTTGTAACGTACTCTTTCAAAAATGGTCAAAAGAAGGTTAAAAAATGGTTTTCCTGCTTTCATCCAGAGACTTGAAAGAGACATGCGGTCAAACAGTTTAATTCTGACACTGATACAAAATAAACACTTACTAAACCTAAGACAGTGAGCAAAGTTTTTTCTACTTGAAGGCTAGTATTAAAAAAGTTACTTTTTTGACAAAACATTTATGATTTTAAAATTCGTAACAGATAACTGTAAAGAAGAAGACAAAATTATTGCCGTCTTCTCCTTTCGCCCTCTAACAATATTTCGTAAAAGTTAACGGCAAATCCCGTAGCATGAACAACGGCAGTATGCCAAATCTTTTTCTGCAATGGAAGAAAACAGCAACAGAAACCAAAATGCAGCAAAAATACGGCAAAGAATATTATGTGAAGCATAAGTTATCTTTCAAACTATGTATTTTTGGTGGATAAAATAAAAGAACAAAGAAGAAAACTGAAAGCAAAAATTAATAGAGAAAATTTCTGTCAAATAAGCAAAAAAAAAGAAAATTGAGTCAAAGAAAAGTGGAATAACGGTGGACTGAAGTAAGTATGAAATTTATAATTAAAGCTTTCCAAGAAAAAGCCGTTTTTTCTTCTTTTCTTTTTCTTATAAAAGAAGGGAGAAAAAAACGGAGGGAGAAAGTGCCGACTATCCGTCATAAAATGCAACATTTATTCAGCACTAAAAAACTATAGCAGTCGGTGGTGAACGAAAAAACGGTCGAAGAAGAGGAAAAAAAGTAGAGGAAAACAAAGAAGAAGAAGACTGTTGACGAAGACGAGTTGCAGTTTGGAATAAATTTTCTGCTTGTTAGCTGACATTTTATAAACTGTCGCCTTTAAACTTCTCAGTAAATTTATTTAAATAACGTATACACCGGTAGATGAAACAGAATCCAAACGAAGCACAGCAAACATTTTGTGAAAGGCATTCATCAACAGCAAATTTTATTCTTTTTAATAATAATTTTCTGCTAGACCACATTATTTCTTCTTTCTTTCTTCATCCCTTCTTCCTCTAATCCTGACCTCACATTTCATAAGAAAAGTTTTTTTTATATGATGAATGAC